TCCATCTTCTAGTACAGTGTACTGCATGCTGTTTTATATGTGTAGGTAGACCACAGTAATATTTTTTCCTCCCAATAACTTAAAAATCACAATACACATAAATTTTTAATAGAAGACACACAAACTTTGGATAAGGAATAAGCTGGAAACATATTTAGAAGCTGGCTAGAGCATGGCTCATACTGAAGAATTGTTACTCTCCCCTGCTTGACATCAGGGAGTGATCTGAGTAGATGTTCCAGGTGTTAGTCTAGAACTGTATGGCTCAATGTGGTAACCACTAGCCCTGTATGACTACACTGAAGTTAAAAATACAATTCTTCAGTCACATTAGCCACACTTTAAGTATTTAATAGCCACAAATGGCTAGAGGCTACCTAATGTTTTAGACAGTGCAAATATAGAGCATTTTCATAAATGCAGAAAATTATATTGAAGGGATTTATGTGAAGAATAGTAAGAGATTATTCTAGTTTAGGATGTAAATGGTGAAAGAAGGAAAGTGACCACATAGAAAGTGAGTGTTACAGATTATGATCCAGGTAACATTTTTTATGCATAAGAAGTAAATTTAAAAACATTCTAAATTTAGTTCTAAAAGTAGCTCTAAACAGTTGGTTAATATGACCTCAGAAACAATTTGTTGAGAGGCAGTCAGGTTAGTGGAAAGAGCACTGGACTAGGAGTCAGAAAACCTGGCTTGTAGCCCTACATCTCTCTTCTTAATTAGCTGGGAGGCTTTCTGCAAATCACTTAGCCTTTCTACACCTTGCTTTCCTCATCTTTAACACCCAATATCTGTGAGGTATTACTCTAATTTTCTCTGATGTCCTTCCTGGGTAAAACTGCAACTTCATAAGCAAAAATGAACTTTCTTTCTTAAATCCTCCTAAATCAATCTCAATTCACATATTCAGCCCTCTGAGAATTAAACTCCTTGTTTCCCCAAAATTTCCCACAATGCGAGTCTTATGTGCAGGATTGGGAAATGTGAATCTTACTCTACTGAACTGGAAACCTACAAAAAGGTAATTTGGGATCAGCAATATTTTTTTTTCATACCAATGGAACAAAAACTTTGTCAGATCTCATTCTTGTCACTGAAAAATGCATTTTAGAGAGTCCCTGTGCTACCTGCCAGACCACATGCTCTCCTGCACAGCTCACCTTGCTGTTGGTCACGGGACATCCAAAGGGTGTGTTTGTGCTCCCGACCACGGAGGCTCCCTCCCTGCAGCGCTGCAGGCACCTGGTGCCAGGGCTGCGGGTGGCCTGCTGTGCTCCAGCCAACCAGCTCAGGAGAGGGTGGAGCTGGCCTCCTACTGATGATCGACTCTCAGTTGTTTGTAATTTTCTCGCAAAATAAATACTCCAAGGCTGTAATTTCTCCTGCTCGGTCTCAACCCCAGAAGCGTATAATCTGTTGTTGTTGTTTTTGGAAAGTTTCAGAAACGTCTGCTTGGAGATTATTTCAGTGGGAACATGTATGTCAGCAGTTAAACTCCTCAGACACATTTTTGTTTTTCATTTCCAAAACCATTAAAAATAGCAAGTACCTAAGCGTGAATGAGTAATTCATGTCAAGAATCCATTTTCCCTTCTCTGCTTTGGATTTATTTTTCCCAATCTCTCCTCTTTTTCTGAGAAAATGCATAAAAAATAAGGAGTGAGACATACTTGGCATGATCCAGAAAAATAACAGCTTTTTCAGAGTTCTGTTCACCCAACTTTGAAATTGTACCTTGTTCCTTTCACAGTGGGACAAAGTTACAGTGCAGTTAGGTATTCCAATTAAGGTTTAGCTGTGTTTTTTTTTTTTAATCATTAAAACAAAGCTCTCGAAACTTTATCTTTGGAATTATCTTTCTAGACCAAGTCACTAGGTAACTTGGTCCAGGAAGTGGGGCAGTTTCCCCAGCTGCTAATAAGGTACATCATAGCTGCAGGGATCTCCTATCCCTGTCACCCTTCTTTCTGTGAATGAGACCCCATGTGTCCTCTTTTGGCGTCTTTAGATGGCACCTGCCTAGAACCCACTGTGGGGATTAGTGAGTTAACCCCTTTTGCCCTCTTTGGATACCTGCTTCTTCTTACTCCCTCTCCCTCTCCAGCTACATTCTTTTTTCCTTGTTGCTTTTAAAAGCACGATGGTGGCTGGCAGGAGTTGTGGGGTCGGTTTCCATTTGGAACCGTATAAATTACCAAGGGTGCAGAAGTAACGGGAATTGTTTGGCTGGTCCTCGTTAAGCAGGAGGGGGTCTAGGCTAAATTTCCTCAGTAAAACCTTTGTCAACTTTACAACCCAAACACCTCTGTAGCCACCCTGTGCTCAGATAAGAAACAGCCCTCTTGTTCCTCTGTCTGCTTGTCTTCTTTTTGCCCTTTATTACTTTGTAGTTTTTTGCCTCCCTGCCTGACTCCCTCCATCGCTGCCTCCCCCTTTTTCTTCTCTCCTCTCCTCTTCTCCCCTCCTGTCCCCTCCTGTCCCCACTCCTCTTTCCTTCCTCTCACAAGGCAGGGAAGGAACAGGTGTCAGCAACCTCCTTAAGGAACTGGGGTAACTGAAGCGCGTCATGAACAAGCAAGTTCCCTAAAATCCTATAATTAGTAATTCATGCACTGTTTTAGATAAATACATTATATCTTTAGGGAAAAGTAGGGAATTACAACAATCCTCTCGAAAACTGAGAAGACACCAAATGTTTGCTTTTTGGTGTTGGTTTATAAACATGTTCATGAACTTTTCCCCCACAAATCACAGTGAAAAATCCTCACTGTTCCACATCACCCTGTTCCAGCTCTGTTAAGTGCCGAGTGCAAAGCAGGGTGCTGATAGAAAAAATGTGAAAAGGCTACTTTTGTGGTCAAAAGCACAGAGCTTTGAAATGAGCCCAGCCTCTGGGTTTCAGTCCAGGCCTACACTTATGTGGCCTTGGGCAACTGACTTGACCTCTGGAACTCAATTTCCTCACCTGTGAAATGGGTGACAGGCCCCCACCCTCGTAGAGTTTTTATGAAGATTTAAAAAAACCTTGTGCAAAGGGCTTTAGTACACTAGCTGTGGTGGTAACAGGCTCGCCCCACCTCTCCCACCACGGCTGCCCTTCTCAGCCATACTCTCATCCATTGCACTTTCCTGAATTTCACTTTGCTAATAACATGACCCTTTGATTTACTGGATTGTCTGACAAAGAGTAGAAGTTCCCTCCTCACCAGAGGAAACTATTTTAACTTGTCAGGAAAGAACTTTTGTAAAAACTTCTTTTAAGATTTTCCTTTAAAACTCTTTCAGCAAATGTCCCCTTGTCCTTTCCCAGAGCAGTGGAGGACTCTTGGAGGTCCTCTGATGTCACAGACATGAGGCAAAGGGAGGCGTGAAAAGCCAAAGGGAAGGAACTCTTCCCTGGAGAACATGCTGAACATCGGTGTGGGGCTGAGTCTGAGATCCTGTCTCAGGGTGCTTGTTGGGCACAGTGAACATGGCCCTCTTGGCGCTCTCAGTGGCCAGCAAAAAGCCAAGGGAGCTTGGAGAAGGGAGAGGTTTAGGCCAGTCCCAAGCACTGCCTAGCACAGAGCAAGAGCCTTAAAACCCTGCCTTCAGTGCACTCTGTCGGAGCAGTGGGGCTGAAAGGCTAATGCCCGTCTCCTACGACAGACTGCAGGCAACCGGAACGCTGGAGACTGGCGAGCACAACACGTCCCTCAGCTGCACAACCTGACCACTTCCCCTGGGTTTTTCACTGGTGACTGTAAGTCTTTGAAAGAGGTGGGTGGTTAGATAAAGAGGTCCAGAAGGGTGAACCTTGTGAACATCTGTCACCTCCTTGGGAATATACTGTTCATATTGCCATGTGCATGAGTCAGGAAGATGCATCTACCACCTCCAACCCTGGCATGTTACCTTCAATGCTATCTGCAAGTCATTCTAATGCATCCGCCTAATAATGATGTTGACACACCTCCTTATCAGCCTAATGTCCTGTAAGTACAGTGAAAAGCATAGAAGCCAAATCTCGGCTTAGGCTGTGACGGAAGTGTGTGCTAAATGTACCCTTGCCTCTGTGTGATTTGGATGAATCTATTAAGGACCAGAGTGTCAGGAAGGCATAAAGCCCTGTGATCATGGAAGGGGAGGAGTGAGCTCTCCGCAGGCAGGAGGAGGGCAGCTGACAGCTGAGGCAAGTCATCAGGTGGCTGGAGGTGTGGCCCAGTCTACAGCCCCAGAGGAGGGTTGTCCTGGGTGGAGAGGCAACACAGACAATTGCCAAGAGTACAGATTTTGTAGAGATGGAAAATACCAGAATTCCAGCGCGAGGAGCAGAGGGAAGGTGAGGGAACTTGGCTGATGTGTGATTTTTGTCTGTGTTTGGTTTTGGTGGAGGAGAGGTTACAGATGGGCTGAGGAGGGTAGGTGGATTCCAGGAATCAAAGAGAGTTCACAGGGATCTAAGTGAGGAGCAGGGGTGAATCAAAACAGGAGTGCCTCCATAAGTCTCTGAGATTTTAGAATTCATTAATAACATCCCTAAACAAGGGATTCAGCATGCATTATGCATATGCTGGCATTGCCCACCGTGATCTGTACCTGCAACATGGCATGCTGTGTGTCCAGGACATTTGACCTCCCATAAGCCAAAGGCAAAGCAAGCTTCGCGTGTCTCGCATCTGACCCAGCCTTCCTACCCCGAGCCCTGCCCGCAGCGGCAGGCCCAGCCTCTCTCTACCCTGGGCTCCACTGTCCTCAGTGCTGTCACTGGGCTGGGCAAGGCTCTAGCCCTCTTACCATAATAAAGTCACCTTGGAGCTCAAGGGGACTGCTTAGAAGTGCCTTAGATGAGAAGTGGCAGGAGAGTGTTCTCTGGTGTCTCAGCAGCATGGTCGGGTCCCCATGTTGAACACTGCCAGCATGTGTAAAGGAAGCAGGACAGACCTGGGGCTGTGCCTGCCGGAGGGGTATCCCAGGCATTCTCACCGAGGCCACTTCTCTCTTTCTTTCTCAGAGAAGAGTGAGCCAGGAGACTGAAGTACTCTTTGAGTGACTGCAGTGGCTTATGGGACGTTGGCTTCAGTGCCTTTGCAGTACACCATGCTGCGTGGGATGTCGGCGACTCCGAGAGGACAGCGGCCCGAGGTCACACTCACGTGCCTTCTCCTGGCCGTGGCAGGCTGCTTTGCTGACCTGAGTGAGTGCTTCCCTTGCCTTTCTCAGCCTGCCCCTTGGAAAAACACTTTGCCCCTAGTGCCCAGTGGAAGGTCTGCACATTCTACAATAACCCTGCAGAGAGGCCGCCTTCTTCTTAGATTTCAAAGACTACTTCATTCTCACTGGCCCTCCGAGACACCTCCATTAATACAAGATGAGAAATGATCCTGGCAAAGTCACATTTGTTGTGTAAAAAACTGTCTTTTGTTGAGCACCTATGGTATGAGATTACAGTAGGCAGTTTATGTATACTGTAAGCTTCACAACAACTCTGTGAGAAGGGTGCTCTGAGTCCCATTTTATAGGTAAGAAACAGATTCCAAAAGGCTGAAGCCACATGGTTCACAAGCAGTGGCACTGGGATTCAGACCCCAGGTCTGTCCAACTCCAAAGTCCAAGCTCTTCCTTTGCACCACACTGCCACTGCTGTCTACTTTTTGGGATTAAGAACAGGCTGGAAAATGAACCCAAGGACAGTAGAGAGCTTCAGAGAAAGCTCAACTCCTCTGGGTCGCTCAGCTCAGAAAAGCTGCATAGGCATTGCACTTCTAAAAAGATCACATTGTTGGTTTCCTGGGGGTGTCAGTTCATGGCCACATCCCTGCTCTTCCTCCAGATGAGGTCCCTCAGGTCACTGTCCAGCCTTCTTCCATCGTCCAGAAGCTTGGAGGAACTGTGATCCTGGGATGCGTGGTGGAACCCCCATGGATGAACACCACATGGCGCCTGAATGGGCAGGAGCTGAACGGCTCGGATGATGCCCTGGGTGTGCTCATCACGCAAGAGACCCTCGTCATCCCTGCCCTCAGCAACCACACCATGGGACGCTACCAGTGTGTGGCCCGGATGCTTGCAGGGGCCGTGGCCAGCGTGCCAGCCACAGTGACAATAGCCAGTGAGTGCTGCCTTCTGCCCCCCTGCCATGGTGCAGTCTCTCTGCCTATTTTCTATTCTCTCTCTACCCACCATGAGTCACACCCCTGTTATTGGTCTTAACAGTATAGGGGCCTTCAAAGCTAAAATTCATAATCTGAGCAGTAGCTGCCCAGTAGTCCCCAATGACAGGGGTCCACTTGGGAAGCTGCTCTCTGAGTAGGGGCAGTGTCTAGAAAGCAGGAACTTGACACGTTGACCAGTTTCTGTGGGACCCAGAGCTGGGCCATTCCATGCCTTCCTACGTGGTCATTCTGTGGTTTAGCTGTGGTCATGCCAACTGCTCTATGTGTCACTCATTTTCTGCCCTCTGTCCTCACAGTGGTTACGGTCAGAGCACTTACAGTGAGGGCTAAGTGAGGTCTGAACAGAGCCTGCCTGGCCCACACCTGCCTCCTGGCTCTCTGAGGGGCAAGCATATTCCAAACGCCTGCTACATAAACAGTAGAACACAAAGGGAGACTGTGACAGAGGAGTAAAGAGGAAAGAAAAGAGGAAGAGATCAGGTGCCAGTGTGATCAAAGGAGGATGTCACCCTTATCTATAGGTACCTCTGGGTATACCAGGTGACCAGGCCCAAAGACACATTTTCTGATTTCCTACCCATGGTACATATAGGAAATGAGACCCAACTGATTAAATAAACTTCCAAAGTCTACAGGGCAGCCCCAACACCAAATCTTATATGCTGAGTCTATAGCCAGAAAGTATTAAGAATGACCTCTTCCTTCCTGGAACCTTAAGTATAGGGAACAGGTAAACTTGTTGCGACTGTAATGGTATTTGGCTTTAATTCTGAGCTCCTGCAGCTCGCGCCCTTATCCCTGACAGCCCTGCTTCAACCCATGTCGCCATCCTCATCACCCTCCTGGATATGTTCTGGGAGGTTGGTGGCCTTTATGTCATGGGTCAGGCCTAAGGCAGCAACTTCTAACATGCTCCTTAAGGGCCATCTGGGTCCTTGGGGAGTGAGAGATGGGTCCTGGGAGGAGCATGGTGAGAGGCAGGGAAGTAGAAATCAGGAAGAAGAGACCTTGCCCTTTGGTCCAAAGTCCCACAGGGGCTTCATTTTTGGGCAGAGAATGGAGCTCCGGCTGCTAGCAGTATTCCTGTTTCCTCAGGAAACAGTCCAGCAGCCCAGCCTTCTTCTCAGCAGAAGGAGGAAGGCAGGATGGGTCCCCTGCTATCTCCCTAGGGACCAGGCTGAGCCTGGGCTGGGTCTGAGAGCCCCCCACACAGTGGGAGCCACTTTTCTTTGACCAGAAGGAGCACCCACTGCTTGTAGGGTGGAGGGAGAGGGGAGAGTGAGGCGGGGTCGTCTCATCATAACAAGAAGGGCTGAGTGAGAGCTACACTTCCTGCCATCATACTCCTCTTTTATATTTTAACTTAAAATTACATTATAGGAAGTTTAGATATAGAAAATAATGTTTTCCCCATACCCACTATCATCAGAACCACCATTATCATTCTGGAGTACACCCTTCCAGTCTTTATCCATACCCATACTTTTATTTAAATTGAGATGCAACTGACATACAATATTCTGTTAGTTTTAGGTGTACAACATAGTGATTCAACATTTTATGCATTGTGAAATGGTCTCAGTATGTCTAGCTACCGTCTTTCACCATACAAAGCAATATTAATGACTACATTCCCTGTGCTGTACTTTACATCCATGACTGACTTATTTTACAACTGGAAGTCTGTACATCTTGATTCCCATCACCCGTTTCTCTGTTCTCCCTGCTGGCCCCCTTCCCCTCTGGCAATGACCACTCTGGTCTCTGAATCTATGAGTCTGGGTTTTGTTTTGTTTGTTTTGGTTTTTAGATTCCACTTATACTTGAAATCATGTGGTATTTATCTTTCTCTGTATGCCTTATTTCAGATAGCAAAATATCATATCCATACTTTTACACTGTTATAATTATACCAGAAATATACAATTTCTATCCTTTTCCATCCCCCTTGACATTGTATGACAAGATTTTTCCATCAGCCATGTGACATTTGCTTTTCTTTTTTTACTGAGTATAGAACACATCCTGTAAAGTACACAAAGGGCACTAATCTCAGGTGAACCACTGATTTTTAAATATGCACACACTGTGTAACCTTCACTCTAGCATGTTCCCTCCTGTGCCCTCCTAGTTAGTCTGTCCCCCCAGCCCAACCAGAACAGGGTTGCAATTGCTAATGGCCCTGGAACACCCCCCAGATGTACTCCTATCCCTCCTCCTATGGTTAGGCAGTTAGGTTGCTTCCCATTGTTCAGGAGTACACATAAGGTGTGCCTTTTAGCAACATTTGTACCTTCGAAGGGTAAAGCTGCCCATCTCGGAGGACTACTCATCTGCAGATGGTCAGCAGGTGTCTGAAGACTCAGGAAACTCCATAACCATTCATTTGGCTTAATGAGGAGCCAGGCTGAACCTTTCAATGTTTGCAGGAAGGAAGAGTTGGAGAGCAGAAGATTCATGTTGGAGCCCTCCTTCTACTTCAAGGTGTATCTGTGTGAGGAGAGACATTATACAGCCTTTATTTTTAGAGAATTCCTGGCCATTTCTTTCTCTGGTGCTTGGCAGGATCTGCAGTTGGCAGTGAGGACCAACGGAACGGTTTGGTTGCAACCCAGGAAGGCCCAGTGGGTGAAGAAGGGGCTTGTGCAGAAGCCGAGTGAGTCTTGTTTGAAAGCCAAGAACTATTGGCTTGTCAGTTAGACATGAATCAGAAGTGAAATGTTTGGGCCTGACTCGAAGGCTGGAAATGGAGAGAGCAAGCTTAGTCGGGGTTGTGTCATGGAGAAGAGGGAGTTGGAGGAGAGGAACCACAGCCTCTCAAACTTGGAGAAGTTTGGCATTGGGAAGGCAGGAAAGGCGGGAGAAAGGGGTGCTGTCTTTGGGTTCATGCCATGGGGGATTTGGCCCAGACTCAACAGCTAGATTAAGTTTCCGAAAGCACATTCCTGAGCAGAATGGGGGCTGTGTTTTGCTGGTTGTCTGATGGTGGAGGGAGGCTGAGTGGCAGAAGGGATTACCAAAGGCATGGTCTGCCTTCGGAGGCAAGGCTGGGCAGTGGCGTGCTGGTGCACACACATGCACACCCACCCGCCCTTGGCACTTAAACCCCCTTTTCCTCTGCCCTCTTCCCCATGTGTTCAGATGTTCCTCAAACAAAGAAAGCACTTGCTGTTAGGCCTATGTGGCAAGACACTGCCGCCTGTGTCTTACTGAATTCTCTGAGATCACCAGGAGCTTTCAATGATGGAGGCTGGGACCTAGCTTGAGGATCCAGGGGCTGTTGGAGGTCTCCAGCAGAACTTTCCTGGTTCAGACCTCGTTCACTCTTGACACTTGGGATGCACTTGGCCTTTGCCCGTACCTGGTGAGATCAGCTTCTGTTGTTCAGGTAAAATGGAAGCACCGGCAGAGTCCACCTGCACAGCTGACCCTGTGCTGCAGGTCATCCTGGCTGTGGAGATAAGGGCCTGTCCACTCTCTTCTGTGGAGAGGTTTCTTCCTATTGAACCTAAACTTCATTTGTGGTAGATCTCTCTTGCTGCTAACAATTACTTCAGACCACTTTGTCTATTCCTGCTTTTTGAAATATTTTCCATTTTGATCTCCTTTTTTCCTCTTACCATTTTTTTTCACAAGCTTCACACCAGGAGGCCAACCACTCTACATGGCTCCCATCCCCCCAAACCAACAGCCGACAGTGTCAGTGGTGCTGGGTTCCTTCTTTCTGAGCCTCGGGCCAGACTTAGAATCATTCTCAGTGCAGCATAGCTGCTTTATCTGTCTTCTCTTACCTCCAAATATACGCCATTCAAATAAACTCCTACACAATTCTTCACCTTTAACTTTTTTCTATTTTTTTAATTCTTTATTCTCCCAGTTACCCTATCATCTCTAGGTCCCAGTCGTAGTTGGAAATAAAACAGGTAATGGGGTAGTAATTCTAATTCTGGGAATTTTAGCTCTCAGGCTAATGTCTCGAGTTGATGCTGGTGTAATTGAGAGTGGATCTGGGTTCTTAGTCTCCTGGATAAGATGAACTACAGTATCATATTATCCATAAAGCAAGTCAGACCCATGAATTGCCTAACAGAGATGTAAACAGTTTTAATGGGAGTTCAGGCTAACAGTGATTCATTTCAACTTCAGGTCATCAAGAAAGACTCAGGCGTTGAACCTTGAAAAATGTGTATGGGACAACCTTTATCTCTGATTTCTGAGTCCGTACATACCTTTCTCAAACCTTCAACAACTAAATGGAGCTCTCAGCTCTGTGCACTGAGACCTAAACCTTAGTGTGGTTTCCTGGACGTGCAGATATTTCCACAGTGTGCTTAATTTCCATTGTGAGGTATTTCCATAGTGAGTTCCATCAAATCCTCAAAACCAGGTAATGTCTCTCTCCTGCTATGCCATCCTTTTCCCCATCCCTGCATTTCTCACTGTTCCTCACCTCTTTTCCCTTTAGGAATATATGTTTTGTGATTAAAAAAGGAAACTTTAGTGTTTTCCCACCATCACCACTCTCCCCAGTCTGGTTCAGCCAGCCAGTGACTCCTTGACAAAACAAGAAGGAACGGTTTGCTCCAAACAGGAAAAACATTTGTTGTTGGCTCGGGTGTCTCAGAGAATCCTGGGCAAGACCTCTGCTTTGGGATGAAGGGGTGGAAGCAGGATGGAGAGCTGGGGAAGGAGAAAGACACAGGCGGCTTCCAGAGCTGCCCTAGCAGGGAAAGGGGGTCTGCAGCTGAAAGCTGGGGCTGAAGGCAGCTATCAGACTCAGTGCTGTCTGCCTCTGCAGGGAGAGACAGAGGCAGCTCCACATTAGGGTGTATAGTTGGAAATGGGGAACAAGCTTGAGCTTGAACGGGACTGCTTTATACCATAAATCTTCTGTCTGACTTTGCCAATTGGACAAGAAAATTATTGAAAGACAGCT